AATGTAATTACACCATCATTTTTATTTTTAACAAAGAGAAAATTATATTATTTTAAATAAAAAAATTAATCATTTTGTCTAATTAGTAATTTTTTTAAGATAACATTTTTTTAATGATAAATTAATGTAAAAAATATAAAAATATTATAATCAGTTAATGTTATTAAAGGTAAAAAACAAAATTGAAGATTATTAAATAAATATTAATTAAAAACTGTAATAAAAAAATTAAAATTGATAAATTTATCAATAAAATTAAAAAATTTCAATCTATTAACGGTTTGATATAAAAAGTTATCTAAACTAATTTTTTCAATCCACTAACGGTTTAAATCTTAACCGTTATCTATTAATTTCAAACCACTAAATAAAAATTTTTACCAAACACCTTATTTATAATGGTTTCAAAATATATAAATTTATTAAACCTTATACTTAATAGTTTAAATAAAATTACTAACCGTTACTCAAAAATCGTTATACCAAACTGTCCTAATGGAGACTATTTTATTTTAATTTTGATTTAATTTTTTTATTATTTTTTGTTAAAATTATTGAAAGTTTTGTACAATAAATTATTTGAAAATATTTTATAAAATTTATAAACTACTTAGAAAATAAACTAACTACCTAAATTAAAATAAAATAAAATTAATAGTTAATAAATTAATAATTGAATTAAGCTGAAAAGAAAAGTAGGAACTTAAAACTTTAGAGGGTAGATAATGGAGATTGGAAAAGTTCCATACGTCGTCCACAACTGTTTCAACGAAATTAAATTCGAACTGTATCATAGAAATAACAAAGTTCTATAATTTAAAAATAAGAAAGTGGAGTCCTAGCTTCTTTTCTTCTCTTTTAACACGCCCTTCTTCTTCCTTTCTCTCATTTTTATTTTGTTTATTTAATTTACTATTTTGACTTCAAAAGATATTAGAAAGTGATTCTAACAATTTGTTTGTAATTTTTATTTTTATTTTTTTTATCACTGCATCAACAGTTTGAATTCTTGACAAAGAAAACAAAAGTGTTGGTGCACTGCAATCGGGACTAAGTCCACAAGTGCGTTTGTAATTTTTAGTTGGTTTGAAGGAGATTTGATCTTTAAAGTAATTGAGTTAATGTGTCTTTAACGAGGAATTCTGAGGTATCTGCGGGATACCACATCAATGGTATCTCGAATTAATAAAAATACATTATTTCAACATTTTTTCTTCACATTTTATCAATTATTTGAACCGTGTCTTAATGGTGATGAAAATGAGAATTCTTTAGAAACGGGAACAAGTTAACTCATGTAATTCTCCAAAATTGAAATAAGAACAAGAAAAATTTAAGCTTGAAATTGTTGCAGGCTACTCACTGTAAATCGCTTGAGTAGTCCACTTCCATTCCACTAGAGGTCGATTAATCGACATCGCCTAGGTCGGGGCTAATAT